TGCTGCATCTCTGCTTGCTCATGTGCCGTCGCAACGGCAGCTGCTGCTGTTTTTCCTTCTGTTTTTTCTAATTGCATTGCTGCGTCATGAATGGATAAGCTGCTGCTGCTGTTGTTGCTGCTGCTGCTGCTGCTGCAGTGCTGCGAGCAGCAGGTGGTTGGGTGCGGGATAAGTTGCTCGACATTCCTTCTACTGACATCGACATTGCAATCGACTGTCTCTCAGGCCTGCAGTTCGCCACTGTACTCGTTAAGTATGTTGCTGCTGTTGCTGCTGTTGCTGCTGCTGTTGCTGTTGTTGCTGCTGCTGTTGTTGCTGCTGCTGCTGCTGTTGCTGCTGCTGCTGCTGTTGCTGCTGTTGTTGCTGCTGCTGCTTTGGAACCACGTCGTTGCTGCTTCCTGTATTCGTATTTTGTTTGTATGTGGCTGCTGCGTGTGTCTGTTTTTTTATGTCTTTTTGTTTCTGTCTTTGTATCTCTCCGTTTGTCTTTGTCTTTGTTTCTGTTTCTTTGTGTCTCTCTTCCTTTTTATTTATTACTGCCCCTGTCTCTTTCTCACTGTCCTCTCTCTTTGTCTCTGTCTCTGTCTCTATCTCTGTCTCTGTGTGTGTCTCTGTTTCTGCCTCTGTCTGTCTCTCTCTGTCTCTGTCTCTGTGTCTGTCTCTATCTTTGTTTCTTTGTCTGTTGCTCTTTTTCTTTCTCTCTTTATATGCGTATATATGTATACATATATATATATATATATATATAAATATATATATATATATATGTATATATGTATACGCTTCTCTGTCACATCTTTTTTAACTCTGTTTTTTCTGTCTCCTTCTCTGTCTCCTTTTCTTCCTCCGTCTCTCCCTCGCGTTCCTTATGCCTTATATAATTATTTATTAATGTGTATATTTATTTACATTTGTTTATTAATATTAATAAATAGTAATTTTGTTTCTTAGGTGGCTTGAGAAGAGAGGCGAAGGGCCAAGGGGCTTCGGAGTAATATCTAAGAATGTAGAGCAGAGCAAACATTTAGAGACAGTTACGATGCGTATCCACTCATTTTCTATTGATTTTGTTCATCTAAGACAAGAGACATATACCTCCACCCCCAGCAACAGCAGCAGCAACAACAGCAGCAGCAGCAGCAGCAGCAGCGGCGGCGGTAGCAGGATCCCCACCAGTACGCCCTTCGGCACACCGCTACAAGACGCTCAAAGAAGAGACTTTTGCTGCAATTCTTTGTTTTATAATTTAAAGACAAAAGAAGTAGAAGACTGGAATGAAAGGGGCGTCGCCGATATTAATAACTGTCTCTTACGTGCTGCTGCACCTGTCCCTAAGGAGACACTCGAAGAAGATCCCCTGCGTCTACTGCGGGCCATTCGATTTGCTGCTGCTCTCAACTTCCGTCTTGAACGCAGCCTTGCTGCTGCTGCTGCAGCAGCAGACGTGCATGCAGCATTAAGACATAAGGTCTCCAAGGAGCGCGTCGGCATTGAAATCAAAAAAATGTTCTCCGTATCCACCAGAACACAAACTAGAGCGCCTGCTGCAGCAGCACCAACTGCTGCTGCTGCAGCAGCAGCAGCACCAGCTGCTGCAGGAACAGCAGCAGCACCAGCTGCTGCACCCGCAGCCACGCCTGCAGCTGCAGCAGCACCAAATGCAGCAGCAGATGCTGCTTTGCTTCTTCAGGAGCAGCAGAGGAAGCTGCTGGAAGGCCCTCTAAAGGGCGCTTTGAGAGGCATGCTGCTGTTGCTGCAGCTGCAAGTGTGGGGTACAGTGACTGCGCTGCCTGCAGATCATGAGGTGTACAGACACCCTGAGGGTATGGGGCTATCCTGCGAGAGCAGCAAAGCACGAAAGGGCCTCAAGGCCCTCGCTGAAGAGCTTAAAAGGGAACACGATCCCGTCGATCCCAGCACTGAGTGCAGCAGTGTGGGGCCTCTTGGAGCGTCGACTCTGCTGGCTCTGAGACACCTAGTTGCTCGGCGGCTGCTGGTGCGGAAGCTCCAGCAGCAACAGCAACAGCAGCAGCAGCAGCAGCAGCAGGCTGCAGCAGCAGCGGCAGGAACTGCTGAAATGACGGAGTTGTATGAAGGTTTGAGTAGAGGAGTTGAGATGAAGGAGGGGGACAACGCACTGCGCCAGCTGCTGTTTGCTGCTGTGCTGCATCCGCTGAAGTGTCTCCTTGCGGTGTCTCCAACTGCCCCGCGTGTGCGGCCCCTAGAAGGAGACATTGTTGCTGCTGCTTGGAAGCTCCCCAATGCTGATGCAGCAGCAACAGAAGACTTTGTACGGCATGCAGCGCTGCTGCGAGCAGCAGCAGACGAAGAAGCAACCCTGCAGCAGCAGCAGCAGCAACAGCAGCAGCAGCAGCAGCAGAGGGTCCGTCTGGGGCTGTTGATACGTGACGTCGGGCCCCATTGGAAGGAGGCCATCCTCTTAGCAGCAGCAGAAACCCTGGGGGCTTTGATCAGCAGCGACGCTGCAGCAGCAGTTGCTGCAGCACACGCAGCAGTGACTGGGGGGCGCTGCGCAGCTGCAGCAGCAGCAGCAGCAGCAGCAGCACAGGAGACAGAAGCGCAGCAGCAATTGCGACAGAATAAGAGAGGCAATGAAGTTGAATGCCTTAAAGAGCAGAAGAAGGCGTGTGGCCTGGATAGAGAAAAAGAGCTTCTTGGTGGAGAGACAACTGCAGCAGCAGCAGCAGCAGATGAAATTGCTGCTGAAGTGTCCATAGAAGACCTCGACTATCTCCTCCTCTCCAAAGAAGAGACAGCAAAGGAGACACTCCGCCGCCTGCTGTACCTCAAGGAGACAGTTGAAGCCCTCGATCTTCATGATGTGTGGCGTCTGCAGCCGCTCTGCAACGGGAAAGAGGTTTGCTGCTGCTGCTGCTGCTGCGCGTGCTGCTGCTGCTTCTGCTGCTGCTAGTAGTGTGCCTTGTACTGCGTAGCGCTGCTGCGCTTTGGTTTTCGGATCTGAAGGGCCGCGGATGTTGCTGCAACTACAATTGCTGCTGCTGCTGCTACAACTGCAATCGCTGCTGCTGCTGCTGCTGCTGCTGCTGCATGCGTACAGGTGGCGGCAGCCATCCCAGGCCTTTCGGGGGTCGAGTTGGGGGCTATGATGGAGCAGCAGGTGTGTGTTCTTGTAGAAGAATAAATAAATATAATATATATAATATGTATAAATGTATAATATATATATATATATATTTATATAAGGCCTAAAGGGTTGTCTGGAAGCGTTGCTTAGATTTAGGGTTTAGGGTTTAGGGTTTAGGGTTTCGGTGATGTGCTGCTGTGCTGTGTGTAGCGCCTGTGGCAGTTGGCCAACCCGGGGAAGACAGCAGCGGAGTGTCTGCAGCATTTGCGGTGTCTCCATCAGACCGCAGGAAAGAAAGGCTGATAAAAGGGCTTATTCTTCAGGGTTTAGGGTTTAGGGTTTAGGGTTTAGGCTGCCCCTTAAGCCTGCTAAGGGTTGAGCTGGCGGGGCTTTTTTTTGAGGAACCTCCTCGTTGGCTTTTGTTGAAAACATTTAATGCGTAATCCGATGCACTTGGATATTAGGTCTTAGGGTTTAGGGTTTAGGGTGTAGAGTTCATTATTCAGGGTTTAGGGTTTAGGGTTTAGGCGCAGTGCTGCTCTGTGGGGTGTACTGCTGCGCCCGAATGGGTAACCTCTTGCAGATATATTCAACAAGAGAAACAGCCTTTGAAGCCCTAAACCCTAAACCCTAATCAACGGCGGCCTGAGGGAAGGGAGGCTTTCCTCCGCTAGCGGGGCAGCAAACCCTAAACCCTAGAGCGCATCCGCTGGGCAGCTCGCTGGCAGGTCTGTGGCAGCAGCAGAAGCAATTGCTACAGCAGCAGCAGCAGCTGCTGCTGCTGCATTTGTATGATAGTATAAGAGAAACTTCTTCCCTCTCAGACAGCCACACAAGAGGGGCCCCCCATTCTATAAAATGAGACCGGGGGTACAAGGGGGCCCCCCAGGACCCCTCTATTAACAAGGCCTCCTCTATGCATTCTTCTACTCACCTCTTACTAGACAATCAGAGGCTATGATATATGTATATATGCATTCACCTCCGCTACATATATATAAATATACTTTAATAAAAAAAAAATATATATATATATATGAATGCTAGGTGGATATATCTAGAAATGTGTGTGCGTACATATTATGTATACACACATGCATGCATATAGGTATGCATATATATATATATATATATATATATATATGTATATATATATATATATATACACGCGGATGTATGTGTCTGTTCTATCCTGCCTGTAGAAGTATATAGAAGTACACACCACAGACAACTAATCGGTCTCAATAAAAGATTAATTTTAGCTATATATATAATTGTTTTCATATATAAAGAAGAAAGAATTCAGGTGACTTACACTTCTTTGGGGGCCCCTCAGCAGTATCGACGTTGGGGGCCCCCCGGGGGCCCCTGCCTCTCTTTTTAAGGGCTTGTTTTTGCTGCCTTTGAAGACAACTTCGTTGTATATTTACTTCTTTATTTTTGTTTGTTTTGATGCGGATAAGAACAAAGGGCCTCTGTGTTTGCTTGTATAAGAAGAAGATACTGTTTGGGGGGTAGCAGCAGCAGCAGCAGCAGCAAGGGGGCCCCTTACTACATCTCTCAAGGGGGCCCCTACGGATGATTTCTTCTTCTTTCTCTCTTCGGCCTTGAATAAAGGCCCTTCATCTGACTCCATTTGCACAAACGTTTCAATAAAGGGGGCCCCTCTAACCAGCGAAAAGGGGAGGGGGCCCCATGCTGTTTCAATATATCTCGGGGGTCCCCTGGGCTGTGAGGGGCCCCCCTCGCTGCTTTCGTCGGCTCGCCTTCGCTTCTGTGGGGCCCCCCAGGGCTTTCCATAGCCAGGGAAGAAGCAGAGGGGGCCCCCAGGGGGCCCCAGGGGGGCCCCCCCAGGGGGCCCCCCAGGCCCGCACTGGGGGCCCCCGCAGGAGCAAGGAGGTCCGAACAGAGGCCAGGGGCCCCCCACCCGCCTCCAATAGGGGAAAGCCTCCAGGGGGGGCCCCCAAGGGAGGGCTTTGGGGGGCCCCTGGGGGCCCCCAAGCGTCGTACGCGCGATTTCCTCGCCCAGATCTCGATGAAGCTGCACTTAAAGAAGAACAGCAAAAGGCACAGGGGGCCCCACACTGGCTGCTTGTTGAGTCGGAAGTAACGGGGCCCGGGGGCCCCCGGTGTACGCGCCGCCTGTTGGGCCCTGGGGCCCCTGCCACCAGCAGGGGCCCCCTAGAAGAATCTCACAGCAGCGTACCCATTCAAGACATGCAGATTCAGCAGCTGAGGCAGCAGGAGCAGCAGCAGCAGCAGCCGGAGCAGCACGCTTTGCCCCTTTGTGTATTCGATGCACCACGGCAGGAAGAGGGCGACCGGGGGCCCCCAGGGGCCTCGATGCACCACGGCAGGAAGAGGGCGACCGGGGGCCCCCAGGGGCCCCCTCATCAGTACCCTCTTTCTTTTCTGAGGGCCGCTCTGATTGGAGGTTGGGGATAACAGAGGAATTCGATGCAGATTGGGCATGGCTTTCGGGGGGCCCCTGGGCTTCAGATCCAGGGGGGCCCCTAGGGGCCCCCTCTGGTGGGGCCCCAGAGGGGGCCACCTTGGAGAGGCTTGAAGACAAACGCCTTAAGGTGTATGTACAGGGCCTCGATATACCTAAGCCCATAGCTCTTCTTAACAAGCAGCAGCTGCTGCAGACGCTCCAGCAGCCACATAGGGCTTTAGGGCTTAAAGCAGAGCCTCAACAAAAGCAAAACACCTTCTCTGGGGGCCCCTCTGGGGGCCCCCCAAGCGGCCCCCAGAGCACTTCTTTGGGGCTAGAGACAGACAGAGGGAGTGCTTCTGCTTCGCCTTTGATGGAGACGCTGTGCCCCGAAGCGTATGAGGCTTTAGTAGAAAGAGCAAAGAATATCTTGAGGTCCTTCCAGAGGCAGCAGCTGCTGCAGTTGCTGCTGCTGCTGCAGCAACACACCCGTGCGCTGCAGCAGCAGCACCACTGCAGCCTCCAGGAAGCACGCAGTTTGTCGCTGCAGGCGAACGCTGCTGCTGCTGCTGCAGCAGCAGCAGGAGAGCACCAACAGGAGCACCACCAGCTTCTTGTAGAAGAGGCAGCAAGAGCAGCAGCAGCTGCTGCTGCTGCAGAGAGAGGCCTGAGGGCTCTGCAGCAGCAGCAGCTCTTTGAACTCATTTTTGATGCTGCCCTCCCCCACCTGCCGGTGAGACGAACGATATGGGCCCCCTGCAGCAGCAATCAGGTCCAGCGGAGAGTTTAGGGTTTAGGGTTTAGGGTTTAGGGTTTAGGGTTTAGGGTTTGAAGGGCTGTGTGTTTGCAGCACATGCCGCTGGAGGAACTCGGGACCCTCGCGACGGCGTTTGCTGTTTGTGTTCCAACGTAAGTCAGCAAATAATAAACACTGAAACGAGGGTTTAGGGTTTAGGGTTTAGGGTTTAGAGTTTAGGGTTTAAGGGAGTGCGCTCGTTTCTTTCAAAAGGGTTGAGGGTTTTTAAGGCATGCACATTGCATCATCAACGGCAGACTCAAAGAATAAACCCTAAACATCTTAACGGGGGCCCCCTTAGGGGCCCCTAAAAGGTTTCCTTATCCCTTAGGGGGCCCCCCTAGAGGCCGCCTTAGGGGGCCCCTCTAGAGGGCCCCCTGGTTGACTGATGATGTGCCCTTGTTGGCTGCGAATGTCTTTTTATGTTGTGTTTTCTATGACCTGCTGATGCGCTGCTGCTGCGCTGCTGATGCACTGCTGCTGCATTGCTGCTGCGCTGCTGCTGTTTGTTTTGTGGGGTTGCGCAGGAAAGGCCTCGGGGTGCTGCAGGTGGTCGCTCTGCATGCGTTTGACCGCTGCTGCTCGGCCTTGTGGGGGCCCCCCGCTACAGCTGCTGCTGAAGAGGGGGCCCCCCAAAAGGGAGGGGCCCTGACCTTGCGGGTGCTGCAGGTGCTGCAGCCCTTCGCGCTGAGCCTGCAGCGACAGGGGGCCCTGCGGGCTCCGTTGCATCACACTAGGGGGCCCCCAGTAGGGCCCCCCTTTGCTGCTACTGATTTGCACGGCCCCCTTGCAGCAGCAGGAGGGGGGCCCCCAGAGACAGGGGGGGGCCTCGGGTTTGCCTCTAGGCGGCTACTAGAAGTCATAACTAAGGATCTGGAGGCCCCTGAGGTGGGACCCACCTGCAAACCCTAAACCCTAAACCCTAAACCCTAGGTTCTCCAGTATCGGGAATGTAGCACCAATTGCTGTCCGCATTTCGTCCCTTGAGTTGAGAGTCGTCCTGCTGCTGCCTCTGCATTTGCTGCTGCTGCTGTTGTTGCTGCTGCTTGTGCTGCTGCAGCTTTCCTCCCTTCCACGAGGCGCGCTGCTGCAGCTTCTACTTTGCTGCTGCTCCGTCGGGTCGGGGGCCTCTGCTGCTCCGCTTGCAGCAGCGCAGCAGTGCCTTGATCTCCTCTTTAGGGGCCCCTTGGGGGGCTCCCTCTCCCCGCCAGAAGGGGGCCCCCACTCTGCAGCAGAGGGGGGCCCTCTGGCTGCAGCAGAGGGGGGCCCCCAGGGCCCCAAGTTTACCCTGGAAGAGGCCCTGTGGGTGTTGGTAAGTTGCGCGTATCGCGAGGCTCGTGGGGGGCCCCCCGCTTGGCTGCTGCCGGTGCTGCACGAGGTGTGGGGCCCCTCATCTGCTGCTGAGGGGTTGCTGCTGCTGCAGGGCCCTCAGGAGCTCAGGGGCCCCCCTGTCTATGCAGAGGAAACAGCAGCGGGGGCTCTCTGTGCTGTGCGCTGCTCGCCGCCTTTGGGGGCCCCAGGGGGGCCCCAAGCAGCACTTTTAAGCAGCCATCAGCTTCAATATCTCCTGCAGCAGCTAGACGCATCTCTGCCCCCCCTAAAGGGGGGCCCTGAGGCCCCTGCGGAGGCGCTGCTGCTGCAGCAGCCCCACCTGCTGCCTGCAGCAGCAAGCAGCACTGACGGGGGGGCCCACCTCTCTGTGCGTTTCAGTGCGTGGATGATGCACTTAAACTGCTACCGAGATGGGGGGCCCCAAGGGGCCACCAACCCTCCTAAACCATTTGATTACCTTGAGGACCCGGAGGGCCCCCAACGTGAAGTGCAGACAGCAACGGTGCCTACAGCGGGGGCCCTTGCTGCAGCAGAGGCGCTTGCGTGGGCCCTCTCGAGGCTGCTGCAGCAGCAGCGGCAACAACAGCAACAGCAACAGCAGCAGCAGGAACAGCTGCCTACGTTGCAGGAGAGCATTAAGAGGGCCCACCGGCTGCTTCTCTCTGTCGTACATCAGGTGCGCGCTGCTGCGGCAGCGCCGCTGCTGTCTGCTTCTGCCCTCATTCAAGGGGCGCACGCCTTGGCAGACGCAGCAGAACATCTGATGGGGGCCCCCGTTGGGGGCCCCTCTAGGGGCCCCCCTGTTGCTGCGGTGCAGCAGTTTGAGGCCCAGTCTGCCTTTATGGGGCTGGAAGCAGCAGCGGGGCATTTGCTGCTGGCTGCATGCAGCGCGCTGCAGCGGGGGCCCCACCCTGGGGTGTCTCTGGAGGGCCTCTTGGTGGCCGTTTGCTGCTGCATCTATCGCTTTGCAGGGGGCAGAGCAGGTGGTGTGGGGCCCCACAGGGACCCCCAGCAAAATGAAGGAGCTCTTTCTTCTGCTTGGGAAGCAGCAGCAGATAAAGGAGCAGCAGCAGCACCTGCTGCTGCTGCTGCTGCTGCTGCGTTTGCAACAAGTGCAGCACGATGTCTGCGGGAGTTCCGCTTGCTGCTGGGGGGCCCCCCTTCTTCTAGCTTGAGCTCCGTATGTCTCTGGGGCCCCTTTCCCCTTTCTTTTTGTGTTGCATTGCTTTTTTGGCAGCAGCAGCAGCAGCAGCGCTTTAGGGTATTAATTAGAGCTGGCGGCTATCCGGGGAGGCCCCTGCAAAACTAAGGGGGCCCCCAGAAGCGGCCTCGTTGCTGGATCGTTCATGTCGGGGCAATTGCGTCTTGCTGCTGCTGTTGTGCTGCTGCTGTGGTGTTGCTGCTTCTGTGCTGCTGCTGCTGCTGTGCTGCTGCTGCTGCTATGTTGCTGTTGCTGCAGGTAGAATCCCTCTCTTTAAGAACACAAGCGAAGTGGCTGGGGGCCCTGGGGGCCCTGCTGCAGTGTGAGGCTTCATGGGGCTGTGGGCAGTCGGAGCAGCAGCAGGAGACACAGGAAGGAGGTATAAGTTGCTGCTGCTTCATCTGCCGCTGAAGCCGTCTGTGCTGCTGCTGCTGCTGCTTCCTCTGGTGCTGCTACCTCTATTGCTGCTGCTTCTGCTGCTACTACCTCTGCTAGTGCTGCTACCTCTGCTGCTGCTGCTGCTGCTACCTCTGCTGCTGCTGCTTCTGTTTGTCTGAAGGCCTTTGATTGACTTGCGTTTAAGTTTGTGCTGCAGGGGCCCTCAACCCATCGGCCGCACAAAAGAAAACTGTCTCCTCTTGCGCCCTTGAGGTGAGGAGGAGCTGTTGCTGCTGCATTTGCTGCAGTTGCTGCTTCATTTTCTGCTGCAGCTGGTGCATTTGATGCTCCTGCCGTTACATTTGTTGCTGCTGCTGCTGTTCCATTTGCTGGTGCTGCTGTTGCATTGGCTGCTGCTCTTGTTGCATGTGCTGCCGCCGTTGTATTTGCTGCTGCTGCAGTTGTACTTGCTGCTGCTGTGGATGCATTTGCTGCTGCTGCTGTTGCATTTGCTGTTGCTGCTGCTGCTGTTGCATTTGCTTCTGCAGGTCCATGAGGAGGCTGCGTCGGCTGCTTTGTATGTGGGTGAGTGAATTATAGACAGATCTATATAAATGTTTCAGCGGCTTTATACATAGACAGGGGGCCCGCTTATAGCTCAGCCCCAAAGGAGATGAAGCAGCAGCAGCAGCAGCAGCCGCAGCAGCAGCGGCAGCTGGTGCGGAGTGCATATGGGTATTGCTACGTGCTGCTTCTTGCGGTGTATATACATCCATGGATTTGTTTGGTTGGGGTGTATGTGTACCTCTGTTTGTGCTTGTCTTTGCGCATGCATCTCTCTATTTGTCTCTCTTTGTTGTTTCTCTTATTCTTTGCAAGTTGTTGTTGTCTTCATCTGCATTTTTTCTGCATTTGTTTGCTGAGGGCGAGGAGGCGAGGCCTTTGCGTTTGCTGCTTGTCTCTACGTGATGCAGCTGCTGCATGGGCCCCTCTACTTAATTCTACAAAGAACAAGAGGCAGCCAGCAGGGAAGGGGGGGCCCCCAGAGCTGCTGGCTGCGCTGCAGGGCCTCTTAAGGTGTGTGAAGCCCCTCACGGGACAGCCACGCGCCCATGCAGATGCAGCAGCAGCAGCAACCGAAACAGCAACTACAACTGCAGCAACAGCAGCAACGCAGGGCCTCAATGCAGCCTTAGACCAGCTCCTTCGCGCTTCCCCCTATGGGTCGGAACAAGAAGTTGCTGCTGCAGCTGAGCTGGCGCAGCAGCTGTTGCAGCTGCAGCAGCAGTTGCAGCGGCAGCAGCAACTGCAGCAGCTGCCGAAGGAAGGGGGGCCCCAGGGGGCCCTCTACATGGCCATCACAGGTATAAGCACTGGGAAGCTGCAGCAGCTGCAGGGCCTCAGCAGCAGCTCCTCTCACCTGGGAGGCCTCCAGCAAAAGCAGAGGCAGACCTCTTTTGTGGCGATTGAACCAGCAGCAACTTAACGCGCAGCGGGGGGTTTATAAAGACACAAAGGGGGCCCTCATGCAGCCTTAACAGGGTACTGGGGGCCCCTTGAGGCCCCTTGGGGGCCCCATGAGGGCCTCTTGGAGGCCCCTTTAGGGCCTCTTTGTAACCCCTTGAGGCCCCCTGGGAACCCCTTGAGGGCCTCTTGGGGGTCTCTTGAGGCCCCTTGGGGGCCCCTTGGGGGCCCCTTAAGGGCTTCTGTGGGGCCCCTTGAGGCCCCTTGGGGGCCCCCTGAGGAACTCTTGGGTGCCTCTTGAGGGCCTCTTGGGGGCCCCTAGTGGGCGTTTAGGAGTCTCCTTATGTTGATTTGTATTTGTGTTTGTTTATCGTTTAGTTGGGACTTTTTTGTTGATTGGATAGAAAGCAATGCGGGCGCCTTTGCCTGTATAAGGGTTTGCTTTCAGGTGTCTGTACAGCTCCATCGTTAGAGTGCCGACTGCGCGTTTATCCCACCCATGAATTGTTAGCAGCAAACCTGAAGGGGTACTCAACAAACCCTAAAACGAGGGTTTAGGGCTTAGGGTTTAGGGTTTAGGGTTTAGAGTGCGAGGGTTGCTGCGGTGGAGAGAAAGAAACACACCCCGACCGAATGATAATGAAGGACTGCAGCTGTGCACGGTTTAGGGTTTAGGGTTTAGGGTTTACCTCTCTTATCAACGAAGATCTTGGCCTTTGTTGCATACTGCTCTGCTAGTCGCCGCAGAGCCAAAGGCTTCACACCCACTCCCAGCCTGTAGGCAAACCCTAAACCCTAAACCCTAAACCCTCAGCAGAGCGAGTCACGAGGCCTTCGCGCCCTACGCTTGTAGAGACGCTTTTAGAGTTTGAGGGCGAGCCTCAGTTTTGCGGCGCGCTAAGGGTTTAGGGTTTGGGAATGGGGGCTTAGGGTTTAGGGTTTGGATATGAGGGTTTAGGGTTTAGGGTTTGGGGTTTATATGTACCTGACCATGAGGTTAGGCCAATCTGGGTCAAAGTAGGCCTTCACCCCCCTTCCATCGAGAATCAGCTGAGCAGCAACACCCCTTTCTCGCTGCTGCACCAGCGAGACAGCAGCAGCAGCAGCAGGGGCCCCTGCTTCTTTTGTAGTGGCGGTGAGAAACACAAGAGATTTATTGGGTTTATACGGCACATGATGATGAAACACGGAGACCCCAGGACGAGACAGTTGCCTACGATGCACAAACCCCCAAAACCTCAAACCCTAAACCCTAAACCCTAAACCTCCTTCCCTCCAGCTGTACGCATATACAGCTCAACCGAGCCTCTAGAAACTCCAAAACCCCTATAAACAACCGCGGTCTACGTGTTAGGGTTTAGGGTTTAGGGTTTGAAAGGTCGAACCTGCGTAGGGCTCCCTCCGCCACAAGCTTAGCCAAGGTCTCAGGCATCTTCATCGTCATGGGGCCCCCCTTGGGGGCCCCTTCTTCTTCTAGCCGCTGCAGCTGCACATTGCTTTTCGCATACACGTCGGCTTCTCCCCTGAAGAAAGCCCCATATCCATAGCTTCCCCCAACTCCAAAGAAGCGGCGCTGATAGCAAACCCCAGGGGACCCCTTATGTGCATGCAGCGACACAAGGGGCCCCCTATGGGGCCCTAACGGCCCCCTTAACTCAGCAGCCAAAGGCGAGGGGCTCTGAACCACCTCTGGGCCCTTAAAGGAAGATACACTGGAAAAAATATCACATGAAAGACACAGGGGGCCCCTATTCAGCTTAAGAGGGGAAAGAGGGGCCCCTATATTTTCCTTCTGTTGCTGGGGGCCCCCTACAGGCGCAGCTTCAAACTCGTTGTTGTCGCGCATGCAACTGGGAAGAGCTGCTGCTGCAGATAAAGCCAGAGGAGGGCGGGTTAAAGAAGGGGGCCCCCGGAGGGGTACCCTGCTGGCTGTGGGCTGAGGGGTCCCCAGCTGGGCCCTTCTTAGATGGGGGGCCCCCAAGGGGCCCCCCCATGACAGACCCAGCAGCATTCCTTGAGATCCTGCTGAACGGCGCAGCAACAGCTGCATCTTCTCAGGATATGGGGGGCCCCAGAGGGGCCCTGAGGCCCCCAGAAGAATCAGCTAAGAAGGTATAAAGACAAGGCAGCCCTGGGGGGGGCCCCTTCAGTAGGGCGGCTTCCTTAATACAATGAACTCAAAGTATGAAAGGGGAGGCTAGATGAAGCATTAAAATGAAATATATGAAAAAATAAATATATTTTAATTGTCTATTGATAGAAATATAATAAAACTTGTGCAAGTTCTGCTGGTTATTGGGGCTGATAAGGAGGGCGTAGTGTACATACACCTAAGAAGACAGATGCAGGAGAGAAAGTTTTTCTTTTAACTCCAAATCTGCGGCTATTTCAATTAATGCATATTATTTTTATTTTATTAAATGCTTAGTACTGGAAGTATCGCCGCAAAAACTACCCTGGGGTGTACGTACAGCTTGTTGAATTTCTTATATTGCAGGCGCAGTGAAAGGAAAGAAGCTGCCTATTACGACAAGAATAAAGTTTAAATGAACCGTCAAAATCAAAATATTAATAATTTTGTTTTATGTGTAGAAGTTGATTATATTAACAAACAAAGAAAGCTGGGAGTAGGAATACTACTCGTATGTCTATTGTTAAGGTTCTGTTTCCTTTTTCCTTTAAATATTTGTAAATACACTCCAATTAATGTAATAATAAAGTTTTAAAAATATGATTAATATACATAAAAAGTTTTTTATCATTAAAGAGAAGTCTGTCACTAAAGGCATGAGAAGCTATCCATTTCTAACAAGGCAGCTAATAACTTAACCTCTAATCTCCATACAAAATAAACAGAGAGCCCCAACTTTCTGGGGCTGATAGAGAGAAGATGGATGGGGCTTCTTTGAATTTACCTCTTTGCAACAAATGCTGCAAGTCAGCTCTGCATGCAGCCCCAACAAAACCTTACTTGCCTGTAGTATTAATACTCTAAAGGATTGATGCGCATCTCCCTGCATGAATACCTCTTAGTAAGGCTGAGTACGCCTTTATATATCAACTAAGACTGCGTAGAGACGCTGCTACACTCTTAACAATACTTGTTTGCAGCAACAGCGACTGTAGGGCACAGACATTACTATATAGGCTCCCGTATGAACCCTTAGCGGCATATTCCATAGAAGAGCAACACAATATAATGCAATATTAGTATTTAATAAAGATATTTTGAAGAAGGACTGCTTCTAACCTGATAATAAAAACCCCTAAGCCCGAAGGGGTTGGGGTTGGCTGTGCCTCTGAGGCATATTAACTAACACCTATATATATATATATATATATATATATAT